ATCATAAAATGCATTTGTCTCTGCTAGACATAGGATTTTTATTTTACTATTGAATTAAGATCTGAGGAATAAATGATAAAAGACCCATCGGCATGGAAAGTGATTCATTTACCCATGGGTTGGGGCATGTAAATTTGGTAACAGAAAGACTTAAGAGAGGAAGGGTGATTTACATGCAGCATGAATGTTTCTTTATTGTCTCTCATCTCTCTCTGTCTCTTTCTCTCTATGTACCTATATATCTTATGTAATTGTATATTGTAGTATTAGTAGATCTTTAGTGTGTACTCAATAACCAGATGATGTGTATTTCTATTTTTTTATTACAAGCAAAAGGGAATATTTTAAAAATTGACAATATACTTGGCCACAATGTGAAAGTCAATAAATAATGAGAAATCAGTAGCATCCAGACCATGTAGTCTGCAATATAGTTCAATAAAAATAAGGTGATGATTGAAAAAGCCCCAAATATATTAGAATACTAAAAGCAACTGAGTAAACCCTAAGAAAGTAGAAGGAATGTAGTAAAAATTGCTGCAGTAGGAAGTAGAAAAGTAAAAATTAACGATGGAAAATAAACCAACTAATAGAGAGACTAACAAGCTTTATTAGAAAGATTAGTAAAGTAGAAAAACTTCTGGCAGGATGGATGATAGAAAAAGGAAAAAAACAGATGGCATGAGTAAACAACATCAGAAGTAGAAAGGAAGAAATAGGCACAGATATGGCACAGATCTATAAAATGCATAAGAGAAGACTATGGGCAATGTGTGACAATAAAATTGAATATCTAAATGATGGAATAGGTGATTTCCTAGGAAAGTATAACTTTTGAAAAAGTGACATAAAAGATATGAAGGTATAAGGATGGGAAAGAAAAGAACTGTCATATGCAGAAAATATAATTTTTTACATAGAAATTCTGAAGAATCCAGTGGTCATTATTCAGCACCATGGCTGAATATAAGATCAAGATATCAAAATTAGTAATGTTTCCATATAACATCAGCTAAAATTTTAAAAAGTACTTAAAAAATGAACACAATATAAAACTAATAAACTGCTTAGAAATAACTTTAATAAAATGTGCTCAAGTGTCTCTTGAAGGAAATCACAAAACCTTATTGGAAGATACAAATTAAGACCTAAATAAAGGTTAATAGCATATTCATAGATTAAACAATTAATTCTCTTTGTGTAAAAGGGGTCAGGAATATTTCTCAGAATAAATGATATCTGAATTGTCTTTCAAAGGTGCCGAAGACTCTGGTTGAGGAGGTACAGTTGTGAGGAGGAAAGAATATTTTGGGCAGAGAAAATAGTATTGTTCCTTGTGTCGTAAGTAACCAGGCTGATGCATTTGGGAACAATTTGGCATTACCTGAGAATGAAATGAAAGGGGATATGAGTTGGTTGGAGTTGTGGTTAGAGAGGTAGATGAAAGCTATTCATACAAATTGTGTAGATATCTTTTCTGTATACAATAGTTCACTTAAATAAAAAGCTTTTAATATAAAAGAGTATTTTTGAATTATGGAGGGAAAATGGTGAATCAGGATGTCAGGTGGCAGAAATGGATATGAAAAGTAAAGATTTGGGGCCACATGGACCATCAAGATCAGATTTAACCTCAGCCTCCAAGTGAATTAGTTTCATCATAAAAGGTCACTTATCAAATTCAAGGATATTTCAAGCAAATTTTTGCCTAGATTGACTAGTACTTGAGTGAGTCCCTGCCTCAAAATTAAACATTCTACTGTCGGTATCTAAATGCCAATACAGATTACATTCACTCATACCTTGACTCCTCCACCAGGACTATTCCAACCTTGTCAATTGTGACGCTGCCACTGCACTTATTTTTTCCTATCTACTCTTTCTTCCCTTGACAGATTCCCAAAGGATATATTATGCTCTTTAAGTAACTGTCTAGGTCTCTGCCACAGAATTCAAGGACAGCTTTTGTAGGTGTAATTTTGTGAAAGGACTGATATGTCAAAATCTTTTACTTTTTGCATAACTTCCATCAATGGCTGATATATCATCATGTTCATCAAAACTTTGTACTATACTATTTTGCAGATTGCTTCACTATGTCTAGCATGTATTTTTGTATAAATATTTCCAGAATACAGAGACCATAAGCACAGCAAAAACTTCCTAAATAACATTCACAAGGACTTCTAAGGATGCTCACACACTTCTTTCTGAATCAAAGAAGTGTAACTTGCAATTCACTTCCTGGCAACAAAAATTTCTTGATGTAAGAGTGCAACTAGATTATTATAAAATAACATGTTTCTTAGGAGTTTTGTGTTTATATTTGGGGATGATTTTTTTTCTAATCCTCTTGAAAAAAATAGATATTTATTTACTCAGACTACTCAGCTAAACCTGCCTGAAGGCCAAGGGATGTGTTATTTTTGGCCATATGATATCTCTCAGAATTGTAATTTGAAATTGATGTGTGAATGTATTTAAGTATATAAGCAATATAAGTACAGAAATATCTACGCACACAAATATGTGGCCTATAAATCTATTCTTAAAAGAATAAAGGTAGACAATGTCATCTTTCAGTGCACCTAAATCTAGCTGCCATTCTCTCTAAGTCAACACATGGTCCTTTTATAATTGTCTTCCTAAAAACCCTCTATGTGGTAAGTTAGGTTGATGTAGAAAGATGTGTGTGTCCCTGTTTGCACCCTATTGTTTTCTTCAGATGAAATGTTCTCCTTTATTCAGATGCTACTGTGCCTCAGGGAATTCCTCAAGCCATAGCCTTTATTGAACTATTCCGTAATAACAAAATAGTATTGAAGTATAATTGATACACGAAGAACTACATATATTTAATGTATACAACTTGATGACTTTGGACATATGCAAATACCAATGATACCATCATCACAAATAAGATAATAGACATATCCAGAACCACCTAGAGTTTCCTTCTGTCCCCCAACTATTTGCTTTTATGTGATAAGAACATTTAACATGAAATTTGCCCTCTTAACAAATTTTGAATTGCACAATATTGTAAAGTATAGGCATCATGTTATAAAATGGATCTCTATAACTTATTCATCCAGCATAAAGGAAATTTTATACCCATTGAATAACAACTTCTTTTTGTCCTGTCTGGGCTTAGGTATCATTTCTTAGGGCAGATTTCCCTAACCACACCAAATGGATTTATTCCACTGGTATACATGCCCATTCACATCCAATGTATCTTCACTCTAATTTTTTATTTAATCATCCATAATTACTTATTTAATGTCTAATGCATCCACTAGAATGTACGTTTCACGAGGGCAGAGACCTGTTTTGTTCACGCCTGTTCCTTTGGCACCAAACATATTGCCTGAAAAAACCGAAGCAACACACACATGCACACACAAACACACACACATACACACACACAAAGTTTAACCAACTTGCTTAATGATGGAGGGATTATGTTTTATATCCTAAAGTGCCTAGACATTAACTTTTTTGATTAATCCTTGCTTTATTCTAATAAAATGAGGAGCCACATTCATATGGAAGGAAATCAAGATTTATGAATATCTGAGGACACGGGAGACTCCCACAAACATTTGAAGGAAAATGTCATCAGCAAGAATATCAACATCAGCATCAGCATTTAACAACATCACCACACATGTAAGTTTGGCCAGAAATATAACAAATACTACTGAGCACTTATTACTTTCCAGCTACTGCTCAAGACATATCAGTGACCAAAACAGAAAAATCCCTCCCGTCTAATAACAAAATTTACATTCTGAGGCAGGAAAAGATACGCAATAACCATAATAAATAAGTAAATTCTACAATACTGAGAAGATGGTCAGTGCTATGGGGAAAATAGAGCAGAAGGGAAATTGGGAGTTCAGTTCCAAATAGGGTGAACCGGTAGGCCTCACTGAGTATGCTGGAAAAAATTTTACTCTGATTATGAGAAAAATAAACAGTGTAAAGTTCGTAAAATGTTCTATAAAAGATCAAATCAGATATATGAATACAGAGGGGGAAAAAAGGCCTGAGTGAGTCAGGGACTTTAATAAGTGGAGGGGAGAGAAGTTTTCACTTTGATTTATAGTTTAATTTTTTTTGTCTTAATAAAATTTATTGTTACTTCTTAATTTTTTTAAACAAATGTTTTATTGATGTTTCAACGTGCATAGAAAAATACACACAAGCTATAAATATATATCTTAATGGATACTGTATAATAAACATTTCAATGGATATCACAAAATAAAAAGAAAAGCAGACTAGAATTTTGCAACAAACATAAGTAACAACTACCTAAGCCAGAAAATTAAACATGACTAGCAACCCAGAATCCCTTTCAACTCCTTCCCAGGATAATTTGCTCCTACCTTTTCTGGGTAACTAATACTCTGAATCTCAAAAATATCTATATAATGCTTTGTAGGTTTCTCTTTTGAGGACTTGTACTCTATTAATACATTAATTCCTGGCTAATTGATATTTCTGATTTTATTTTAAGTAGCATAATATTTTCAAACTTTATTTTTGTAAACTCTTTTTCTGATAAATGGAAATGCAATTGAATTTCCATTATTATCTTATAGCTAACTACCTTGTAAATTTATTCATATATTAAAAGTTTATCTATAAATTATTTAAGATTTTCTGTGAAAAATGAGAACGATTTCTTCCTTTCAAGCTCTTACATCTTTTTTCTTCTTGCCTTTTTCACAGCCTATATTGTCAAGTATAATGTTGAACAAAACTGATGATAGAGGGTATAATTATTTTGTTCCCAATATCAGGAGGGAAGTGTCCAATAGGTCACCATTACAAAAGATTTATAGTTTAAGATTTACCTTTTCAACAAAATTAACTTCGAGTTACAATAAAATCAAATAAAAAGTGTTATTTGTATATCATTTGTTAAGAGAAAACAAAGCACATTCTTAATTAAAAATTCAAGTTATTTAGAGATAAGATGAGAATCTTACCATTTTTACTGATGTCGAGTTCTTTAAGATTAACTAAACTAGCAATAGTGGTTGGCAGATTTGAAAGATCATTATCAGGAATACTTAGTTTTCTTAGAGCTTGACAGTTGAACAATTGCTGTAAAAGAAAATAATGATTAATTAGATCTCAATTTGATTAAATCCTTTCATATATAAACTCAGAAACAAAATTCAGTTCACCATTTTTATAAATGGGGTAATAAAAGGGCCAGCTGCAAAAGTCTCACCTCCCACACTCATACTCTCAATTCTTCTCAGAATGCTTCACATTCCATCTCCATGTTCATGCCTCACTATTCTCTGCTATCCAAGTTCAAAACACAAGGTATTCTATTTTTACCCTTCTGTTTACTATTAATGTTAAATTTGCCTTTGATCCTACTGATTTTTTTCTTTCAAATACTTTCTGGAGTTGTCCCTTTCTTTCTATTCCCACAGCTACCAGGATAATCTCAATTCTCTTTCTCTGCAACCATGTAGTACTTCCATTTGATCTTGTTTGACAATTTTTAATATAACATCAAAGAACTGCAATACAACTGAATACATGGGCTCACATTTCTTTTATGTCCCTCCACACTGCTTCACAAATATCTAGCAAATGAAATATTTAACTTTTGAAACTTGGTAAAAAAAATAACTAGTGATTGGTTCATTTCTGCCATCAGTCCAAAGTACTACATGGGGAAGAGTCAAGTGTTAAAGCAATAGTTCTCAAATCGAGCATGGTTTGTTTTATTTATTTATTTATTTATTTATTTATTTATTTATTTATTATGTTATGTTAATCATCATATATTACATCATTAGTTTTTGATGTAGTGTTCCATGTTTCATTGTTTGCGGATAACATCCAGTGCTCCA